GCACAAACAAGTATTTCAGGGTGTTGAACCAAGGATCAATTCATTTTGATGCCTTCAATCTTGTCTTGCTCAAAATGTTTCTTTCTCTTGATGCTCTATGATCTTCGAGTGAAGTAATTCAGTGATTCGGGAATGATTGTGCTTGATCAATCTCATAGTTTGAAGCTTGATGTGCCATTTGTCTTTAGGGAATCTTTGCATGTGTTTTTTGTCCCTTTTTCTTTTTTATTCTTGTTCTTGTTTCTTGTTTCTTTTTTCTTTTCTTTTTTTGTTTTTTTGTTTCTTTTCTTTTTTGTTCTTGATTGGATCTTCGTACTTTGTCATTTGGTCCACCTTTTGGTATCTCCTTTGGATTGATGTCTTCACTCATGTGAGCAGATTTCTTCCACATTGCCCCCAAGTGTGGAGGGTGATCCTTGGTTAGGGTTGAATCAGAAGAAAAACACTATAGGCTCAAAAGGGGACACAAGGGATATATATTTTTTTCCTGTTGTGAAGGGATAAATAAATAAAAAGCCGTTCATCATCTCATACATGTAAGTCTTCACAGAAGAGGTATCTCCAGGGGGATAGATTTTCAGGATTAATTCTATTCACATGAAAACAGTGTAGTTAATGCATGATAGAATTATTTCGAATGATTTTTTTGCTCCCCAGATGTCTCAATGTTCAGGCTACCTGTGAAATGGCCCAATTTAGAAGAATGCTCCTGTTCAAATGAACAAACTCAATGCCTTGGGTTTTAATGGTAAAAAAAAAGGTCAACTTTGAGTCTAAAAAGACAGTGGTGTGATCTTATTGACTCAAAGAAGGGTATGGGTGTATCAGAAAGGTAAAGGCAATGTTCAAGAATTTCAAAGGGAGGTAATGTCAAATTTTGGTCTTTTTGGTAATGATCAAGGTATTTCATTTTGGGGGTTTGAGACAGGATATGAAAGGTCTAATCTTGACATATGTCAAAAATCTATAATTCTTGAAGAATTAAAAGAATCCTTAATTCATTTAATATTCGAAGAACTAAAAATTAAAATTTGTTCAATTGATCCACCTTAGAAAGTAGCATAAATTCAATCCTTTAAAAGATTAAGCAAACATGAAATATCAAAGACGTGTTCAAACAAAACAATCCTCTAAGTGCAAAATGGTATATGTCATGCCCCCTTCTTCGGCTGTCCATGCCCCTGAATCCATCAGAGTTTGGATCTTGCGCTTCAGTGCCTTACAGTTTTCAGAGGAATGTTTGGGAATCCTTATGTGGCAACAGTTTCAACATCGTAGCCCTTAGGAGATGGGTACTCTTTTCTCAGATCATCCTGGCAGGCTTAGTCCTACAATCAGCTGATCCAACTCCCCTTGTACTGAAAAATCTTACTTCCATGAGGTGTAATGTGGTTAAGACCACTTCATCGAATCCTCCGTGACTTAATTTCATGTTTATGAAAATGCTTAAAAATGTAGATGAAGATGCAAAAATGCAAGAATGCAATAATACAAGAATGCATGAAATGTTCGAGGCATTGATCCAAGAAATGTGTCTGTTATTATGGATAATCCTTATTGGGGACAAAAATGTTTTATCTTTTAAGAAAAAAAAATATCCTGACAGCTTCTGACATGTTGACTAGTATTCTACTTTCGTCTTTCACCGGTTGAATAACCTGTCGAACCGCTCTGGCCTCTCTAGATGAACCGTGAAACTATTGAGTTGTTTTTTGTACTGGTTCAAGAAGTCTCGAATGACCGCATATCGAGCATTTACTTTTGTTGAGCCTATTCGCAACGAATTCGTCATTGGAGCCCTTAATTGATAGGAACTCTGTGAAGTTCATTAGTCTATTTCTTGAATTCGCCAGCAATGGTCTCCAATTTCGGCTATCATTTTTCCATTGTCGTGTTTAAAGGGACTTCCAAGATACATAACCTTCATCTTGCCCCTGCAACCTATGACAGTCAGTTCTTCAAAGATAAGCTTTCGTTGTGTTTGATGTAGACCCGGTTCATTATGAGTCCTTTATAATGCAGCAGAGTGATATACTCTTCAATTGTGGGCACCACGTCTTCTGGATTGAATGTGACACATAGTCGTCTTGTAGACTATCATCTATATTTTCATCTCTTGTATTACAACCCATTTGTCCATTAATGCAGATTATTCATGTTTAACAAACACGCTTTTGGTGGATCAACACCTCTTTCGAATGATAAAAAAATGCCAAAGAGCAACAATAAAAGAAAAGGGTTAGTGAGATAAGGATAATAGTAAAAAATGATGAAAATGAAACGTCCTACCCCACATGATATATACCCCCACATGCTTATTATTCCTACCCAGACATGATCTCTATCCCGCATGCTAATTTCAAACAAATCCTAACCGCATATTTGTCTAGTTCGCATGCTTTGAACAGAAAATAAAGCAGGAAACAAAGCAGCCTAGGGTTTGGAATGAGGTTTTGGGGTGGGCTCTAATTCTCCATGGTCACCCAGTTTGGGTTCTAAAAAAAATGGTACCCGATTTCTCCTTGCTGGCGCCCCCTTGGGCTTGCCAGACCCTTAGTCCTAAGCCCATTACAAGCTTATGTGGACTAAGTTAAACTCGAGAGGAAACATTCCCTTATGCCCATACGGAGAATAAATTCACACGAAGGCGTCGCTTTCACCCCCACTTAAATAGGGTTTGGAGCTCGGGTATAGAGCCTTTAGATGAACAACAAGTTTGAGAGTCTGAAATCATTAGAAAACTGTTAGTACAACTATTTACTCGAAAAAAAATAATCAAAGATAAATAATAAGAATCGAAGAATTAAATTAAAATTTAAACTTATAATTTTCGCTTAAAAAGACAACCAAAAATTAATTCGGCCTGACTCACTTACCTTTCCCCAGCAGAGTAGCCAAGCTGTCGTAACCGTCTTTCGGTTGGGGCCCGAAATTGGGTTTTGACTTGAAAAATGTGGATTGGAGTCGCCACCGATCTTTTATTTTAAAACAAATAGGTAGATCAGATACCTTGCTTCTTACCTGATCTACTTTTTACCAAAGATGTGTCGGATTCGGGAGTCGGTTACGGTCAATGAAGGATTAGCACCCTTGAACCGCCCTTTCGGTACCAATTAATTTGTCGGTTGTCTTTAGTAGCGAAAATTAAAAATTTAAATTTAAAACATAGATTCGAATAATTACCTTGATCGATTAAAAAAATTCCCCTAACAAGTAAAAAATGTTAGATAAGAAATATTAAATAAATATTAAATAAACCAAAAGGAAAAATAAAATAAAAATTAAAAAATGGAAAGTAATAAACAAAAGAAGTAAAAACCCATAATAGATGAATGACCATATGTTGAATTTACCCAAAGTTCAAAAGCATGGGTTTTTGTTTAAACTCACGCAACTAAAAGCCAAACAAACGTGGGCCCCTCTCCTTGGTTGTACATTCTGCATATTCCCAGAAAAGCGACTGCAAGCTCACCGCCACATTGCCTCAGCTCCTCAACAGTCTCGGTTTGTTTGAGTCTTCTTCGGAGTGGCACGGTCGACGGTCCTTCTCGTAAGTCTCCGTCTACTGGAACTCATCATTGCTGGAAATAGATCTGAAACATAAACGGCAAGAGCTCCAGCCATCCATTATCCGGAAAAATACTGGAAGCAAGCTCGGGGAGAAGAATAGCGGCCATGGCACGAGCCTTGGGTTGATTGTAGGCTTGAAGGATATACACGAGGCGGAGGCATAGGGCATCGGGGTAGGATTGCTTGCATAGATTAACAATGCCTCGGCGTGAGACCGTTGCTCATTCAATGACGAAATCACGTGGGAAACTTGGGTTTTGAATGGAGCCGGGTCGTGTCCCCAGATGAGGGCGAGCTACGATTGCTGGTTCATGGTGGCGTAAGAGAATAAGAAGATGACGGTATTGATTCCCTTAGTCGTGCCCCCACTTCCAGCTTCCATCGGTGTTTTGATCTTCACTCTTGCTTCCATCGCTTTCATTGACCTCGACCATTTTAGATATTAAAAGATAAGAGCCTTTTACAATCAAAGAGAGAAGAAGCTGATATTCACGTGGCACCCCTTTTGTGTTTTTCTCTTTGTGCCGCCCCCCCTTTGCTTGTTGATTTATATGTGTTTAAATAGCCAAGTGATTGGCTATTTTTAGATAGATTTAGAGTCTCATTTGGACTCAAATGCTTCAGTTTTAGAGTTCTATTCGAACTAAAAAATCATCCTTGCTGATTTAGTGCCGAGAATTTCGGGGATAGAGTTGTTGGGTGAAAATTGGTGTCTACAGTTACTTGCAGCTGCACTCCAACAAAAAAATCATGCTAAACTCATTCATATATGTCCTTCCATTTTTTTGCAGTGAGACCATGTCTTTTTCTTCTCTCGGCCATCAAAGATCTAAGAGAAACAATACCATATACTTCCAACAAACCATTATTTTGCAGGTAGGGTCTTGTTTCTGTTTTATTTCTCCGGTAGAACAGAAAGCCTTAGCTGCTATCTACTGTCTACAGTCCTCAGTTTAGACCAAAATTTTCTTTTCTGTTAACTTTCGTTTCCCCCTCATTTTTGGCATCAATCTCATGGTTAGATTTCCATCTCAATAGAATTTCATCTGAGTTTTATAAAGAAGGTCAAATTTGCAGGAATTAAAAGGGTATTGTAAAGAGTACGGGAACGATGATGAAGTGATAACAGAGACTACGAACAAGTTCTCGTTTTCCTCTTCTTCTGCTACTTCAAAGTACAAAGATTAAGTGAAAACCAATTAACAATGTCATCGAAGTTTAATGAAAACCAATTAACAATGTCATCAAAGTTTAATGAAAACCAATTAACAATGTCATCGAAGTTGTAAATTATGCGTTTCTTTCATGAAGAATCGAGCTCCCTTTAGGACTCCAAAGCCTTTTGAATTTATATCCCACACCGGACGTTGAAGAGAGTTAAAGCGCTGCAGAGCAGTTATAAAACGAGTGGACTAACGCCTTTTTTAAGTATATATTTCTCGGCCTTTTGGCTAAAATCAAGTATAGTTTTTGTTTATTAGTTTAATATCTGATACATAGGCTAATGGCTTACGTGATATTAAATTTATTTTTTGAGGGTGAGAACCTTTCATAGTAGCTTGCTTCAGGGGAAGATTGAGCTCAAAATCGAGCTCAATTGAGTTTTGAGTTTTAATCGAGTTCTTTAGTTTTTTTTATAATTAGAGTCTTTTTTAGTTTGAGTCGAGTTTTAATAATATATTTTCGAGTTTGAGTTAAGCTTGATAATTTTTAGCTTGTGAGTTTTCGAGTGGAGTTGAGCTCACTCTTATAGTTTTCGAGTTCGAGTTGAGCTCAATAATACTTAAGCTCGTTTACACTCATTAATATACATTAAGTAGTTAATTATTTTACTAGCATGTTAATTATTAATTTGTAAATTATTAGTTGTAAATTTGTGGTTAAATTCGATTCAATAATTATTATTTTGTCACATAAGGTAAATTAATTCATCCATGCATATTTATTTTCTTCCCAATATTGGACTGCTTCAAATGAGTCCCTCGCGAGTATATCAAATAATATTTTATTATAAATATGTAAATTAATGTTTAACATATTACTAATGAAAAAAATTATAATCAGAAATATTTTTTTTAAATCTAAAAACATTTATTCGTGAAAATATTAGTTTCCATTATCAATGGATTTGATAATAACCCTCAACTCAAGACAAAGCAATTGATTAATTCAATCAACGGATAGGTCTAACCATGCATATCTATTGGTTCTACAATGACTTGTTCCTGATTAAAACGAAAAAAATATTGCTGTTAGTCCCTCTTAAAATTGATAGTTTAATTTAAATTATTTTAGTGTATTTTATTCATTTTAACCCACCAATAATTTATAATTTTATCTATACCTTCGTATAAGTACTATATTTGTCTTTATCCAAATGGTCATGGGTGGGCAGCACATACAAATATCATAGGGTCGACTAAAGGCCGAATGGTCACACTACACGTTTGATATATCAATGTAACAGTATTTATCTCAAAATTACAAAAAAAATATTCGACAGTTATTACATTATTTATCAATTAATTAATATAATAATATGAAATATTAAATCTTTTAAATAGGATGATGACAGTTTAATATTACATATTTTTATTATTATTTATTTCTCATTTATCGGTTGAATATTATTGATTTATCTTTATTTTGGGTTTATTTTGAATATGATCCCTCATTGGATTAATTAGCCCAAAAACCAGCAGATTTCGACGATCCAGTTATCATCTTCTAGAAGACGAGCAAAATTATTTTGAATATTTAATTTAGAATTTACCTAAGACAATGTTATCCAAAAGATGAAGAGAATTCAATCATGAATTTAAGACTTAAATATTTATTTTTATCTTTTGTGATAAACATTGTAAATTTAGGATAGTTTGATTATTTTATTAATTTTATTTATTTATTTAGGAATTAGTTATTTACAACAATTAATAGCATTTTTAGTTTGATTATATCATTATCTTTTATTTATGAATTAGCTACTTTATTTACGTAGAACTCTTATGTTCTAAATACCCCTTAGGTTCAACAGTTGAAAAACATATTGGAATTTATTTTTCCTTTATTCATTATTGACTGCTTTTCTTTATTCTCCACTTTTATTTTTTTTATTTTCTTTTTTTTATTTTCTTTCTACAATGCTAAGCATGATCCAATCCATGATTGGCTAAACTTCTACTTAGCCAAAGGGTTTTGCGAAACTCAATTCTAATCGTGAAGATTGATTCTTGATCTTCATACCTTCAGATTGTATTCTTTAATTCTCTGGAAACTAGGAGTGGAAATAGACCATTCCCTTAAAATTTATCACATCTTCAACTCAAAAGGAGCATGTTGATTTGAATAATGTTGTGTTTAAAGTTTGGAAGTCAGATAAGTTGGTCGTAATTCGACTTCTTGTGAACAAACTTAGTGGCGGTCCATTAAGGGGAATCAAGATCAAGTTCGATTCTCAGTGAGATGCTATAACTCGAGTTAGGCTTTTCCAGAACTTAAAGTTATTTTGGATCTAATGGCGATAAACGTGACTTGACCAACAAATATCGGATTTCAGAGATAGACTTGGAAATTTCGATTGACCGGAGAGAAGAGTTAGCTGCAGGAGTTGAGCTCTGTTGACTGTAATTGGCGTACATCACGAAGGAAAAATTTTATTTCGATAATCGATCAAAATTGAGGCTAAGAAAAACATAAGGTTGTATCATCTTTATTGAATTTTTCTTTATTTCCTTTATTTATTTTATCATTATTTTTATTAAGTATTTATTATTTATTTACTTTCATTTATTTTTAAAAACCCCTCTTTTATTTTTCTGTAGTTGATTCATTATGAGAAACAAAATTATAAACCTTCCTTAGTCTATGTGGATCGACCCTACTTCTCTATACTACTTTATTTATTTATTTGAGAATTTGGAATTATTTTTATTTTGCGAATTTGATGCTTGTCAAATTGGTACCGTTGTCGAGGATTTAGGTAAATTTACTAATATTGTTTCTTATTTTGATTTATGACTAGGAAAAAACCTAGGAGAACTAGTAGATTACAAACTAGATATCGAAACGTTTTCACAGAGAATACACGGACAAACACTCTGGCAAAAGAGACAATAGGAATAACGCCAATAGTAATATGATCCAATTCGAGACACCACTCCCTACTTCGAAACAAACTTTGCATATGATGAACCAACTCTGATAGTTGATCAAACAATTCAAGAGCTAGTCGCAGCTCCTGCGGTATAACAATGATTATGTATCATTTTCCCTCAAGGCAAAACTCTATTCGAACTCAAGACGGGGTTAATTCATCTTCTTCCTACCTTTCATGGATTACCAAGTGAAAATTCGCATAAGTATCTCACTGAATTTCACATGGTTTTCTCCAGCATGAAACCACAAGGAGTATTTGAGGATCAAATTAAACTTTGCGCTTTCTCATTTTCCTTTGTTGATTTCACTAAAGATTGGTTATTTTTATTTACTGCCAAATTTTATTACTACATGGACTGATCTGAATTGAATTTTTCTTAACATGTTATTTCCTACAGAGAAAGCAAGCGAATTAAGGAGAATCATATTAGGAGTTCATCAAAAAGATAACAAGTCATTCTATGCCTATTGGGAACGGTTCAAGAAGCTCTATGCTAGCTGCCCGCAAAATGGATTAACTGAACAAACTCTTCTCCAATACTTCTATGAAGGATTACTTCCTATGGAGATGAAGATGATTGACGTAGCAAGTGGAAGAGCTCTCGTCAACATAACTCCCGTCGAAGCCAGAGATCTAACTATGGCCGCGAACTCTCAACAGTTTCTCCCATCTAATGAACCCTCACGAAGGGTTCATGAGATAATTACTCATTTTCTACAGGATAAAATTGATAAGTTTACTAATGTGGTTCAATCTCTCATTATAGGTAAAACAAGACAAACAAGGCTATGTGTAATCTAAACGATGTCGGATCACCTCTCGAACTATTGTCCAATGCTTCAAGAAGATACAAAAACTCATGTGAATGTAGTGGGAAATTTTTTGGGACCTCCTCAAAGACCCTATAATCCTCACGCCAATACCTACAATCTGGGATGGCTAGATCATTTGGAATTTAACTATAGGCAGAATCTGAGGCTAAATCAAGCATATCAACTGAGACCACATCCACCTCAGCATTACCGACCACCAAAGTCATTATTAGAAACAATTATGGAGCGTAAGGTGATATCTTAGGAGAAGTTTCATAACCGAACCAAAGCACACTTACAAGAGATGGACAAACAAATGAGTCAACTAGCTCAAATCGTGGGACGATTGGAGTCTCAAGGGAAGTTACCATCACAGAAAGAGCCTAATCCTAGAAAAAAAAAACCAATGCAACGACCATTCGAAGTGGCATTGTTATTGAGAATGATCCACCCAAAGCATTTGACGCAAGAACCCATGAGAAGAAAAAAGAGACAAAAACGTCAACGCCATCTCCTGCGTCACCCCTTACGTCGTTCCACATCATTTTTCACCGGACTAGTTAAGTGTGATAAATAAGCCAAAGAAAATGAAATACTTGATGTATTTCGTAAAGTTAAGATAAACATATCTTTTCTCGACATGATCAAAAATGTTCCACGGCATGCTAAATTTTTAAGGGCCTTCGCACAAGTGAATGAAGGCTTAACGGAAATGAAAAAGTCAACTTAGGCAAAAATGTATCTTTTTTTTTTCAACATAAGATTCCACCTAAGTATAAAGACCAATGTATGTTCGTTATCCCTTGTAAAATTGGGAAGGTGGGTATAAAACATACTATGTGTGATTTAGGTGCATCGATTAACGTTATGCCACTTTCAATTTAGAACTTAGTTGATGTTGAGCCTTTGAATGAAACAGGATGAAATACCTCAAATTTTAACTAGTGACTAAAATGTAAATTTTGAAAGTTTGATGGCTAAAGTATAAACTTTGTAAAAGTGAAGAGACCTAAAATATGTAATTTTTAAAAGTTATATTTTGGGTCTATAAATAATTATTTCACACCAAAACAATTATTTTAATAGATTTTAGAATTTTGATTTAGAGTTTGTATAAAAGTTTATTAAAGAACAAAGATCGGAAGTATATTCAGATAATCAGATCAAATTTATATGGATATTTTTAGTTTGTAAAATTCAAGTTGGATTGTGGAATTTGGTGAAAATTGCTCTATAAAGTGGAATAACGCAATTTAGTGACTAAAATTAAATTTTGGAAAATTGGATGGTCAAAAAGGGAAATTGAGAGATGAGATTTTTACATCCATTCAATAATATTAAAATAGAATTAATGGAGTGTCATGGAGGTAAAAATAGGGATTCATTAAGGGTAATTTAGACTTTTGGATTAAATTGAATTAAAAAATCAATTTAATTAGCTTTTAAAAGTCAAAGTTAGGAGATATTTGCTTAGAATTTTCAAGAAATCAACTTCTTTCATCCAGAAAGCTATCGAACCTCCATAGCCAAAGGTGAGTTTTTTTAATTTTTGGTCCATTTTAATTAGATTTTGGTAGTAAAATCTCATGGTTTCATGATTGATTTGGGAAGTTGAGCATTCGGTGGATGAAGGGGAAATGTGAATTTAATGAAATA